ATCCCATTCGGCATCAAAGACTCGCCCGCTGAGTTCCAACGCGCAACGGATTCCTGCTTCGAACCGCTGCTAAGAGAAAATGCGTTCTGCTGCATGGACGACATCGTCATTTGCAGACAGGACTTCGACAGTGTACTGCAGCGGGTTAAGCTCCTCCTGGAACAGTGCAGGAAGACCGGTTTCCACTTGCTCTTAGACAAGAGCGAATGGTCAAGGATGAAGAGTGAAGTGCCTCGGGCACGACGTCGGCCAGACGGGCACAGGTCCAGGAGAAGAAGTCTCGAGCAATCGTCAACGCACCGGCCCCCACCAGTAAGAAGGAGCTACAAAGCTTCTTGGGGATGTGCGGCTATCTGAGACCCTTCACCCCCCGAGTTCTCACACATCACGGCGTCGATATTCGACCTGCTGAAGAAGGACAAGACCTACGAGTGCCGGGATGCACGAGAACACCAGCTCCGACACGCCGTGGAGGACACCGTCACGCTGCATGCCCCACCGACAACGGCAAGTGCATCACAGAGACCGACGCGTCCGAGTTAGGGGTCGGGGCTGTACTCAAACAGGTGAAAGGTGACGCTGAAGTACCCGTCGAGTTCGCTAGCAAGAAGTTCAACCTCCACAGAGTCGCGCTGGGACACGAGAGAACGGGAATTGTTCACGGTCAAGTGAGCCATGGAGAAGTGACAACTACGTCAACTTCTCGCACTTGACGGTCAGGACAGACCACAACAACCTGCGGCACCTCACCAGCGTGAACAAGGGCAAGGACTTCACCATCCAATTCATCTCCGACGAGTCCCACAACCGTAGCCGACTGGCTCAGCAGGTACGCCGGCGACGACGATACGCCGGCGACGACGAAGGAGACGACGCACTATTGGACCGGATATCACTGAAGGTCGTAGCTGTGCGGGCACCCCGACTGCTCAACCTCCCTGCACCCCCGACAAAGGAAGGCTTCGTCAAAGGATACGCGGAGGAGGGGAACCCCAACCTATCAGGTCTTCATTACAACGACCTGTGATGGATCCATCTCAGGCCCGGCTGCGGCCAGGACATCGATAAAATGATCTGAGAGTGCGCGAGACTGAGGACACCGCCGGCGCATCAGCAAGTGCTGCCAGGAGGACACTGATAAAGGCATGGACGTCGCATCACTCGACCACGTGGGACCAATACACGCAGGAGGCGCCGACTGGAACATCCTCGTCATCATCGACCCGATAGATGATGGCCGAGATCGTCCCAACATTCGACGCCATGCAGACCTTCAGGACCTTATACCGGCACTGGGTAGTCCCGCCTCCACAACATAGTGCCCCCACTCTCCCATAAACACATCCCCGTACGAGGCAGTCTTCGGCAAACCCCCCTTCCTATCTGAACGTCAGAAATGGTCGCACATCTTTGTACGTTCTGACGGCTCACACCAGCCTCCTATGGTTCCGAACATGTAGCCCGTTCAGCCCACAATTCAGACCATACCCACAAGGTGTGCGCGACATTACGGGAGAGATCATCAACTGGAAGAAATAAGTTTTAGTTTTGGGATGAGGGGTTTGCGCGGAGGTGCTTGTGTGGAAGGAAGCAGCCTGGTAGCGAAGGTCACACTGACAATCGAGTTTGACGGTAAGCCGGTGGATATGGTGGAGACCTTTGGGTCGATTAAGGGCTGGGGCGAATCGAGCAGAATGGTGCAAGACGGTTTGGGGTATCTTCGGGAACTCCCGGACCTGGCAGTGGGGTTGCCCGCCCAGGAACACGTGATCCTGTCTCCTGAGGAGCTGGAGGCGGTGCACCATGAATACAAGGCCAACGACTGTATGGTTTCATTCGCTCTCCTAACTCTGGCGGAATGTCTAAATGCGATCTCCCAAGTAGTCAGAGAACACCCAGACACGTGTGGGATTTCGGCTGACCTTGGTGAGCAGATCCGTGAGTGGGTGGACTGTTATTCGAACCATATGGGACCGAACGTCTTGCGGTTCCCTCCAACGAAGGCCACTCGAATTCAAGACCTCAAGTTCATTCTCGTACAAATGACACGATTCCCGGGGAAGACCGAGGGTGTAAAAACTTTCAGCGCGCCCACATTACAGCAGTGCAACCTGGACACGGTCTCGGCCCGCTCGTGGCACCAAGTAAGAGCCACCCTAGATTGCCACGACGAGAGACTACTTGATCCGAAGAACGACATTCATCTCCAGATTGGAGTGGCTATGCCATGGGAAATGTATGAGGACATGATGGGAGAGCTGGCTGTGGAGTATCGTCACGCCATAAGCTAAGCACTGGATGTACTTTCTGTACCACTTAACTGGATTTCCCCACCTGCAACCCCACCTTACAAGAAAAGTTAGGCCTAGTTTGGTGAGGTTTTTTGGGGTCTAACGACGGGGGCACAGATATCCAATCCGCTTGCCTGCATGTAGCATTGGCTCTATCGGAATTAGTTGATGTCTCGTTGCAGACGGAATTTCGAACAGTCCTACTGCTTCGGAGGAGCTTTTTCCCCCACTGGCCGGTTAGACGGCGCTGGGTCCATGCGGGTTTGCGTTGTCCGTTGCTAGGGCAGCCAACAGCTCTGACTTAACTGGCCCTCCCACCTGCCTTGTCAGAGTCGGCTAACCGTGGTGATGAACACCAGTAATTCTTCACTTTGAAAAACTTTGTGTTCTCACCCGGCTGGACCAATATCGCCGAAACTGGACCGACGAAACTCACAGAGCTACATGTCAGTCTGTAAGTTTGATGTATTCAGCTGTGGGCCGAGTGTGTCGGGTCCGGGACGGGGTAGGCTTGGTTTATGGTCCCCGATGGGTCGGGTGCCTCGGAGGGTAGCTCGGAGTGCATCGCTGAATTTTGCTAAGTCGAACATACCGAGGCGGCAGCCGAAAATAAAATGCGGCTAAGTCGGCGCAGGGTGCTGCAGCAAAGTTCGTCGTCGGATAGTGACGGCGAGCCCATAGTGAACGCCCTGCGGGCCGCGGCGGCGACCAAGGAGGAAGCCGAAGAAGCGGCTGTTGCCATGGGTTCGGTAGCCCCCACGGTTGTTCCGGCGGTGGCGACTAAGGAGGAGTTGGCGGGAACCCCGCGGCCGGCGAAGGCGGAGGTGAAGGTGGAGGCGCCTGCTACACCTCGGTCGACGGCACGTGGGCGGAGAAAGGTGGTGTGGACGGAGAGCCATTTCGAGCCGATCAACACGTGGTGGGAGAAGCCGCTGAAGCGGAAGGGCGACCCGCACTGGCGCTACTTGGAGCATAGCGGACTGATGTTCCACCCGGCGTTTGTGGCGCACGGTATCCCGATGCGCTACAATGGATGGTCTGTGCCGTTGCCGCCGCTGGCAGAGGAAGTAGTCACGTTCTGGTGTGCGGCGCTGAACAGCGACTACGTGAACAAATCTGTTTTCGTCCAGAACTTCTGGAGCGCGTTCCTCAAGTCGCTCCCGCCGGATCACGTGCTTTTTAGCCCGCGGCTCGTGGAGCCTCCCGCCGTGCCCGACTCGCTGGCGCCGTCTACGGCGGGCGACACACGTGTGTGCGGAGACACAGGTGTGACGAGTCCGCCGGAATCGTCCGGCGAGGAGGACGTGCCGTTGTTGAAGCGGCGGCGGCTGGAGACTGTGGTCCCGCAGTTCGAGTTGGCGGAGTTCGGCGCAATTGCGGAGTACCTGACGGCCCGTCGAGAACGCGAGAAGGAGGAACGGCGGCAGCGGACCAAAGAGGCCCGTTTGGCAGAACGGGAGGCGAAGTTGGTGGCGGAGGGTCGATACATGTATTGCCTGCACGACGGGATCCGGGAGAAGGTGGCCAGTTACAAGGCGGAGGTACCGGGTTTATTTCGGGGTCGCGGTGAGCATCCGAAAATGGGTTTGCTGAAACGTCGAGTGTTACCGGACGAGGTATGTCTCAATTTGTCCGAGACAGCGCCAGTACCGCGAGTGCCAGAGTGGCTACGGGGTCATGCATGGAAGGATGTGTTCCATGACCCGCATGTGACATGGTTAGCCTTTTATAGGGACACAATGATTGGCACTTCTTTCAAGTACGTGTTTATGGGTGCCTCTTCGGCTGTGAAGGGTAGCAAGGACTACATGAAGTATGAGTTGGCACGCCAACTTAAGACCCGGATCACTGCCATCCGTCGTGATTACACTCGAAAAATGCTCTCGAAAGACGCAATCGAGCGGCAACTAGGCGTTGCCGCCTATGTTATCGACGCACTTGCACTCCGCGTCGGAAATGAGAAAGACCGCGAAGAAGAAGCCGACACCGTAGGCTGTTGTTCACTCCGCGTTGAACACGTCACAAACCTCGACGATGCCGCCTGTCAAGTCACTCTAGACTTCCTCGGCAAAGATTCCATACGCTATCTTAACACCGTTAAATTGGACCCACTCGCTTACAAAACCTTCAAGGAACTCACAAAGAGGAAAAAAAAACAGGATAACATCTTCAACCTCATACACCCTGGCTCACTCAATAGGTATCTCAAGGAACTCATGCCTGGCCTCTCCGCCAAAGTATTCAGAACATACAACGCCTCTTTCACCCTACAACGAGAACTACTCGCCGCAGACCCACTGGCCCAAGGGGAACCAGCCCCCGGCCCTCCTAAGGACCGCGACGGCTCCGGAAACGGAGACCCCGGGAACGGAGACGACTCCGGGAACGAAAACGGAGACGACTCCGGGAACGCAAACGGAGACGACTCCGGGAACGCAAACGGAGACGACTCCGGGAACCGGAGTCGTCAGAGAGCGGAGAACATCTTCGGGAACATTAACACGGCCAAGCGCTTCTATGAAGACGCAAACCGCACCGTGGCCATCCTCTGCAACCACCAGCGGTCCGTGTCCAAAACGCACGACACCAGCATGGCCAAGCTCGTCAAACAGTTTAAGGCGCTCCAACTCGACATTCTCGAACTACAAGCCTTCATAAAAGCCACGCATGAAAACCAGGACACCACTGTTTGGGACTGGGTACCCACACCTATCCCCAACCTTCTCGTAGACCTAGATCTAGATCTAAACGAAGACGAACCCCCAGACGAGGCCGAAGGACCAAGACAGTCCGTCATCAAACCCAACACGAAGCTGGATACTGCAGTCAACAAACTCGCTGTCCTCAAAGCCCGGTCTGTGACTCAAGAACTTCGAATCAAAATGAAAGACGAAAACAAGACCGTCGCCAACAACACCAGCAAACAACATTATATGGACCCCAGGTTCGCAGGCACCTCCCCCCCCCTACCCCACCTATCAGGGATCCACCTTATGGGGGTCAGAAGCAATCCACATACGCCTTTAGGATTACCGTAGCATTTTGCAAAAGGTACGATCTGCCGATTGAGAAGTTCTTTAACGCCACCTTGATGAAGAAATTCCCCTGGGCAATGTTTGCCAAAGGGGACTTTGTTTGGTGACGCCCCCTTTGTTTGGTGACGCCCCCTTTGTTTGGTGACGCCCCCTTTGTTTGCTGAGAATTTAAGAATTCGAGTCAGATGGAACAGGTAGTCACTGCCCAAATGGAACAGGTAGTCACTGCCCAAATGGAACAGGTAGCCCAAAGCGACACCCCACACCCCCCTGGACACGCCAGATCTTCCGCCCGGCAATGAGGGTCCCGTGAGTGAGTAGTCCGGTTACCCAAAAAAAATGCAGCAGCTGTCAGAGCAAATCTTATGGGGGCCCCTGAAGAATGACAGCATCGTGTTCCCTCATTTAGTAAATGTCCACGACGTGCAGATCCCACGTTGGGGGTCCCACCCGAGTGGTGGGTCCACCCGAGTGGTGGGTCCACCCGAGTGGTGGGTCCACTCGAGTGGTGGGCGCACATCCCTGAGAGCGGGTGGAGGCGAGTGTTATATTTGTAGTCATATAAGCCCGAGGTGGTACCGAAGGCTTCAGTGTGGATTCACATTGGAAGCGAAGTAGGGGGCCCGGGCGTGGCGGAGGCGGAGGCGGAGGACAGCTTCTGTCAGAAGCTGGCGCGGTCGCTGCAGAGTCGGATTTCGGATTCGTGGCGAGACACGCACGGGCGGAGCCGGGAGGAGTTGATGGAGTTAAAGGAGCGCGTGAAGAGTTTGTTACGGCGTTATGATAAAACCTTCATCGGCCGTTTCCAGCGCCCGCCATCGCGTCAAGAAAAGGAGCCGATGCGGGCCGCGTATGAACTCTACAGACAGCTGAAGGCCGCCGCGCAGCGCCAGGCGGTTTCGAACGGGGGTTCTGAAGCTCCCCAAGGCGGGGGCGTAGGCGCTACCACTGAGCTACAGATCCGACTTAACGAATTGCTAGTCAAAAAGGCCCAACTCGGCAGACAACTGCAGGCATTTGCGGACGCATTTGAAAGAAAGAATTCCCGCAAAGTAAAATATGCCAAAGACATACAGCCAGTCGACGAAGAATACAAATTGTACAAACAAATCAAATCGGTAACCTCCTCTCCCTGGGACTGGCGGCACCCCACCCCCTGGGATCTGGCGGCACTCCCTGGGATCTGGGACTGGGACTGGGTGGGGAGAATGCGTCACCTGGGACTGAGTACACCCGTGGTCCAGCTCAGTGTTTCTTCTGGTTAGCAAATCGCGGGCTTGCAAAATTCATTGGCAGTAAACAAAACTTCTTCTTCGTGATGGAGGGGCCTTTTTCTCATGAGACGTATTGACACGACTATTTCGACACACGGCGGGCTTTTGGGAGCTGACTCTTCAGGTTCTTCGGGGGCATTGGCCGCGGACGGCGGCGAAGGGCACCTCATGAAGACGCGGTACTGCGCTTCGCCCGCCCGGCCCCGGAAAGGCCAGACGCGGATCTACGAACAGGTTGCCGGCTCGCGAAACAGCTTCTACTCCGTCCCCCTCTTTCTAGAGTGGGACTACCGGGAGGTGGCCGAGCTAGTCCGGCGTGGGACCAAAATCGGCAAGGGCGCAACATGCGCGGTCTACAAGACGAACATGCCCTGCGGCTCCACGGTCGCCATCAAAGTGGTCGATAACGTGAGCCCCCCTGCCTGTTTGTCTGCGCCCTCCTGTCTGTTTGTCTGCACCCGCCTTTGGAGCTTCCGCTCCTGCTTGCGCGCGCTCTGGGATTGCGCGCACACGCGTGTGCTCGGTAATAACGTTGTGATTGTAGTCGCTGGACGTGTCTGCGGAAGTGCAGGCGTTGTCCAACTACCGCCATCCGTCCATCGTGACGTTTATGGGCTACGCGCGCGGGAAACACAAGCAGTACTTGGTGTTTGAGCATTTGCCGAACAAGGACGTGGCGCACGCGCTCTACTCGAGTGATGAAGACCCGACCAGTAACCGGCACCCCCCCGCCCCTTGAGTTTCGCCGCTGTAGGTGTGATCAAGAGCATCCGTTCGTCGTGGATGCGTCGTGCGCGCATTGCGGCAGATTTGGCTGGCGCGCTCGCATTCCTGCACTCACGTCGGCCGCGCGTCTTCCACCGCGACGTCAAGTCCGGCAACTTGCTCGTGGACGAGTTCGGCCGCGCGAAACTCGGTGACTTCGGCCTCGCAGTGATTGCTCATGCCTCCCGGGTCACCGTCTCACGCAGCGAAGGTACGCCCGGCTACGCAGACCCCAACTACATGACCTCCCACAACGTTGACGACCGTACCGACGTCTTCTCGCTCGGCGTCGTTCTAGTCGAACTCCTCACGGGCCAATGCCCCGCCGTCTACGCACGCAAACTTGGCGATCACCGCTCCGCCTACGTCATACGTTACTTCGCCGACGTCATCGACTTATCCGACCCCTGCTCCCTGCTCCCCTACGCCGACACCCGGTGCCTCTGGCCCGCCCTCCTCCCTCTCGAATGGAGCCAACTAGCCCTGAAGTACTATACACTACCGCGCACGCACAGCCGAGAGCTCAACCCAACACATACTCACAAACCCTCCCCCCCCGCCCAATCGTCACGGACCCGCGCTGCAGCTGCATGTCTCCAAAACCGGAATCGAGACCCTCGGCCGTAGACGTGCTGGAGGCACTCAATGACCTGCTGGGAAGGTTCGGGGACGAAGCAAGGTCGCCGCCCACACGGCGAAACTAGCAGCTGTCCACTCTCTACGCCAAAGCCGCGTCCAGCCGAAGCCGCGTCCAGCCGAAGCCGCGTCCAGCCGAAGCCGCGTCCAGCCGAAGCCGCGTCCAGCCG